TATATGTACCGAAACATTTTTAACATATCTTATTTTCAAGATATATCCCAACAATCTAAAATTTGAAAAATAGTCAAAGTAATTTTTAGGCGAGGGTTCAAAATTCAAGAATGTTCCAGTGATAAATCAACATTAACCCACCAGACCAGATTTAGCCACTTCGGATGAAAACCAATTAAATGAACCCCAACTTTTTTAAATTCAAGTAAGGAGGGTGGTTCCCCCCTCGGGTTAACGAAAAATACAAAAAGTTTTTTCCGACAATGCTTGGTGCTCTGCAAACTGAGTATCCCCGTACCAATTTAACGTCCCGATTATATGGATCCTAGCTTCAGGACTATCAAAACAATTATTTACCACGCCCTCCGAATTCTCCAGAATTCAATTAGCAGCTCAAGTTCTTCTAAATCTATCATGTCTTTACCACTTCTTCATAATCCCTCATATATCGAAGAGCATCTAGGATGGGGTCAATTAATTGATAGAATTTTATCTAATTCAACTGATGGTATTGCAATTAATCCAAGAGCTATATCGCTATTGGTAAGTGTAAAGGAAATCAAAAGTGATACTGCATCTGGAAAAATATCAAATTCATTAAAGCTTGGTGCTATTAAAAACATACCACCATTTTTTTACGATAAAGAACTGAACAATGTTGAGAGGATAAATCTAAAAATTGGTAGGGCAATGCTACTTGGTCCTTTTGAAAAGGAAGGAAATGTGTCCAATGTTTCTATCCGTATTTCCAGCTCAAATAAATCAACCAAGTTCAGTTGTAATAGTTGTGAATTATCTTCAAGCTATTGGGATTTTGTTTCGGTATTACCTGGTGAACGAATCGGTGAATCAATTTTCATCACTGGCTTTGATACATCATCGGAAGATGAACATTTGAATATATTTGTATACTTGAATGGGTTTCTTTTGGGTCATTCTACCATAGATTTAAAAAGGAACAATCAGATAATTGAGTACAAGAAATATCACAATTGCAAATTGAAATCTACCGAGAGACATAATAATGATTTAATATCAAAAGTAGAAATAAGTACGACTTATTATGGTGCTAAGTACAATATGAATTCGTCTCTAAAACTTTTCTTGTTGCATGACGAAACTTTGGAAATTCACAATGAAACTAGTTATAAAATATGGCTAGGAATTTTATCAGAAGTCGAATCATTAAAGAAATCGGAACTTACAAGACACTTTGATACAATTTTGACTCAATATTTGAAATTGCTCTACTTGATAAATACTTCAAAACATCTAGCTGATTATTCTGACAGGATGAATGATGCGTTATTTGCAAGCCTATTGACTTTCCTAAATACAACTATGGTATCGAATGATTTATCTAGAAGGATGATCCAAAACTATTATAAAGAAATGAATAAGTCCCCTTCAATATATCCTGTAGGGAAATACTTACTACGTTCACTAAGACTAATTATCGATAAAGCAGACGATTCCTGGGATAAAACCTCTCATCTTTGCTGTAAGATGATATTCTATATTTTAATACTTTCCTCTGTATCATCAAATGGAGGAGAGCAACCATGGAGAGATGAAATCCATGATTCATTTGCAAGTATTTGTAAATTCTTTGAAAATCAAGACGATGGCTTCTTAATCGACCAGTCTTTAATTTTGGATTCATTCCACCTCTCCTTGGAAGTTATGATTGGATATTACACACCATCTCATTTCATTGAAATGTCAATTAAATTGTTTAATGCTTGCGAAAAGAAATCAATGGAAGATATGACTATGTGGAAATTAAACCCTTTAGAAAGGAAATATTTGGACTCGAAGCTAACTCTGCTTTATAGAATTTTGTCACACAAAAATCTACATGACTATTTATTTGCTTCAAATGATGTTGATATTATTAGAATGGAGTTCATTTCCAAATCTATGGAATGGGCGTTAAACACTTATCAAAATAAAGCAGGTAATTATAATTTAATGTCTACTAGACTTTCAAATTCCGTCATAGTTTATTTATTGGAAAATGTTAATGATCGTGTAGTAAAGAGAAACTTTTTAAGGTTAATTCCAGCATTTTGTAGGATATTCATAAAGACAGAAATGCATTGCCGTTCAGCTAGATTATTTAAACCTAAAAGAACATTCACAAATATATTTCCCACCAGCTTACCTGCAGCAGTAATATCTATAGATTCAACAGTAGGTACAGCAATTTTAGTCGAAGTATTGTTAGAATTGACAACAATAATTTGTGAAATTACTTTGATTGGTAAAGATTTATATGGTTCCGGCTTATCTATGGGTGTTATCATAAAGGATTGTCAATCAGATGAGTTTTTTGATTCTAACTTGTATTTAACGAAATAACAAGAGATGATTTTTCAAAGAATTATATGGTTTAATCCAGCATTTAATCAAGGGGACTTTTTACCCTTTTAACATTTGGCTAGGGGTCTCAGCATCCATTCTTTCATGTTCCAATACTTTTATTACAGATGTTTAAAGATTTTTTAATTATTGGCTCCTTACCTTTTAGTGAAGATTCTGCGGAAGTTTTTGATGCAACTCTTTGGTCTGAATATTTGAAAACCGCTCTTAGAGTGTTTAATCACAAGTTGTTATTTCCTTTAAATTTATCCATCATACCTAGAAAAGGTGTTTACCGCTTAACCAAACATTTAATTGATGAAGATTCTAGCATAATTCTCGACTGTTGGAATGCTTTAAGTGTTTGTGATTCAAACTCAGACTTAATGAGAAAGTATGGTACTGGTAAGTTAAGTGAAAATCAAAGAGCTTTGGTATTTGATAATCCTGGATTGTTTAGACAGATCATTATTTTCACATTCCATAGAAATATCCAATCTACAATATTTGGATCTTGCTTCTTCTGGAATCTTATTGTTGATGATTGGGTCGAAAATAAGAATATAAAACATTCAATAGGATTATATATACAGGCCTTCTATCATTACTACCGGTTCCATGGTATTAATTTAACAGAACTCGAACTAGAAAAAATGACTAGATCTTTTTTTCAAACTATTCATATCCCTCCGGATGATAAACTTGTTCCTGAAGTTATCAATGGTGTTAAGATTTTAGTTCAACTGTTACATTTGATTGTCGATGCGTTGAGGATCCCTGATAACAAAGAATTTGACAATGATCGTATCACTAATAATATTGAAATGTTGACATTCCTTCTTAAAGCAGACAGACCTGAGTTATTCTATAACAGAGTTTATGATTTATTTGAACATTTCCTAAGACAAAAAGATGACGTTCAAGCTGCCTTAAGTATTGAATTAATTGCTAACACTTATACATGGAATACATCCGAAAGGTTAGAAGAAAATCAATACCCAGTATTGCCAGCTCAATCTCCGTTTGAAAGAAAGGAATATTTCTTGAAAAAGGCTGCAGAACTATTTACAAAAGGTTCTAAGCTAGAGAAGGCATTGTCCATATATAGAAGAATGGCAAAAGCGTATGAAGAGCATACTTATAATTTTGATGGTCTGTCCTTTGTTCATGGTGAAATGTCAAAAATTTATGCCAAGTTGAGAACTGTCGATAGATTAGTTCCCACATATTTCAAAGTACTATTCATGGGTTTCGGATTTCCAAGTACATTAAGAAACAAGAACTTTATTTTTGAAGGTTTGCCCTTCGAACATATCTCCTCGATGCACACTAGATTATTGAATTTATACCATGGTTCCACAATTGTCAGCAGTCAAGAATGGGCTGAAGAATTAAAAATGACACCGATTGTTGGCAAATTTATCTATGTTATATCTGTCGAACCACAAGTTAACATACCGGACACATTCATAAATCGTAATAAAGATCAAAATCTGATCAATAAAGTTCGTTTATATCTTGAAAATAGAGATTTAAGAACATTTACATCATCCCGTAGATTACCTGGTTTTACGCGTGTTACAGATTTATGGGTTGAAGAATATACATACGTCACATCTGCAACGTTCCCTACATTAACTTACAAGAGTGAAGTTTCTGAGATACATAGAAAGAAGTTATCACCAGTGGAAAATGCCATTAGAACACTTCAATTAAAAATTCAAGAATTGATTGGTTTGGAAAATATGTCACACAAGATTCTAAGAGAAGGAACATCACATGCGGATGTATATAACGAATTATCCAGATGTATTACAGGTACAATTGCAGCTCCAATCAATGGTGGTATGGTTCAATATAAAGAATTCTTGTTATCGCCTACAGTTGACCAAATTGATTCGATAGAATTAAGTAAGTTAACAGCCTCATTTGATGAACTGGCATTAATTTGTGCAAGATGTCTACCTCTTCATTACACAATGTTACCTTATGAGGAGTTAAAAGCCAGTCATCAAGCTATCGTAGCACTGTATGCCAAGAATTTTTCAGAAGAAATTGAAAGAAACCAAATCAAGGTTGAAGAGCTTTATAATGTCGACGATTCAAAAAATTCAAAAAATATAGAGGCAAAAATCTGAAAATAGACAATCGAACACTATAAATTATAGTTATAGTTAGTAACTTTCACTTAACTCTGCATTAACTAGCACCCATGGTTTTATGTATTACTGTTATTAGTTGTTATAGTTTAATATCAGACTTTTATGTTAATTAATATCAATCACTTACTACGATACTTAGTCACGTGAATGCACGTGATCAATTGTATTATTTTATATTTGGCCCAATTTTTTTTTTTGATTCCGGAGCAATATTCAATTCGAAAAGTGAAGCACGATTCGTCATTTCTAATTCAATAAGAACTTATGATTGGAATAAAACCTACTTTATAAGAAGATGTTGATTAGTAATTTTTGAATAGTTTCCTATTTATTGATAAGTTTTGTATTTCGTTACTTTGTGAGTGCTCGATAACGAATAATACCAAACTACAAGTATAACCAATATGTTTAGACAATTGCTACGTACTGCTACTCCTTTAGCTCACAGACAAGCTGCTATTGCAACTAAAAGAACATCCATTGTTCCTCAAAGTTTAATGCGTTATTATTCTGCTAGTGGTTTGACCAAAGATGATGTTACAACTAGAATTGTCGATGTTATTAAGGCCTATGACAAGTCTTTGGCTGCTAAGCCAATTTCTTTAGAATCAACATATAATAAGGATTTGGGTTTAGATTCTTTGGATACTGTTGAACTAATTGTTGCTATCGAGGAGGAATTCGAAATCGAGATCCCTGACAAAGTTGCAGATGAGTTGAAGAACGTCGGTGAAACTGTGGATTACATTGTTTCAAACCCAGATGCTAATTGAAGTTAACATTTTAATTATGCTTTTTTTCGAATTCCTGCTCCAAGCAATGTTAAAGTAAAGAATTGGTTTGAAGTACATTTAAGTTTTCACCCCAATCAATGAAACCACTATTTCTCATCACATCTGTTCTAATGCCCATTTTCTTGTATATTCCAATTTTTTTTCCAGCTTTTATTAGCAGATCAGAAGCGTGTGGTCTTATGTAGTACCTCTCATATAATTAAGCGTTATTCTTATATATACATTATAAATATTTTGTATTTATATCAATTTCAAGGTTTGAAAGTAATTTATATATCCTTCATGAGTTTCGATAAATTGTTAGTGACATTATTCACTTGCTTCCTTTTTTTTCTTGCTTCTTTTTTGACTATGGCACTATAAGATGCATTGTTTAAGTTTCAATCATGGCTACTAAAAAATATTCAAAATCGAATCTGAAAAATTGCATTGATTATTTTAAGATGAGGGTTTAGGTTAAATGATATAATAAAAGAACATCCAGACTATCCATTGAGAGTGGGGCCCAATACTACGGTTTATTATACTATCGCTTTCAAGTTGTTTGAGTTATCCAAAAGGCCAAATGCTGAGAAGGAATCAGATAAGCCTTAAAAATTCTGTTAAGGTCGCATTTTATTCCACTTCAAAACATGCTGCTGCTGGTGCTAATAAAAACAATGGTAATTCTGTAGCCAATACTTCTCATGATGTATCGGTAAAACAGAAGATATTTATAACTGATCCTATTTCTCCAGGTTCTGTTTTTTTTTTGCCAAATGGTGCCAAGATATTCAATAAATTAGTTCAATTTATGAAGTTACAACAAGAGCATAAATTTGGATTTAAAGAAGTTATTACACCAATAATATATAGAAAGTCCCTATGGGAACAATCTGGACATTGGGAGAATTACAAAGAAGATATGTTTAAAGTTGAAGGTCAAGATATTTCAAAAGAAGAGTATGGATTGAAACCAATGAATTGTCCAGGTCATTGTATGATTTTTAAAAAGTTCGATAGATCCTACCATGAATTACCTTTGAGATTATCAGACTTCTCTCCATTACATAGAAATGAAGCCTCTGGGGCACTTTCAGGTTTGACCAGGGTTCGTAAATTCCATCAAGATGACGGTCATATTTTCTGCACTAAAGAACAAGTAGAAGAAGAGATCATCAAATGCTTAAAAATGGTTGATTTATGTTATTCAAGGGTATTTAATTTTAACAAGAGTAAAAATAATGATTCTTCCAGTTATATTATAAAATTATCAACTCGACCAGATAAATATATCGGAGATCTAGAAATCTGGAACCATGCAGAAGATACTTTAAAATCTATCTTGGAAAAATCTGGAAAGAAATGGGATATAAATGAAGGTGATGGTGCATTTTATGGTCCTAAAATCGATATATTAGTAAAAGATCATAATAATAAAACTCATCAAGTAGCAACAATACAATTAGATTTCCAACTGCCGGAAAGATTTAATTTAAGATATAAGGACAAAGATAACTCTTATAAAAGGCCAATCATGATTCATAGAGCAGCATTTGGGTCATTAGAAAGATTTATTGCTATGTTAATTGATTCAAATGAAGGGAAGTGGCCATTTTGGTTGAATCCTCGCCAAGCAATGATTATACCTGTTAATACAAAAATTAAAAGCCATGTCAGTGAAAGTAAACAGTTGGCATCGAAATTACGCGGTGAATCCGCAGATTTAGATGATTTAACACCGGTGCCCTTCAACAGTTTTCATTTCAATGTCGATGTCGATTTGAGATCAGAACCAGTTGGATATAGAATCAAGGATGCCATAATGAAGAATTATTCCTATTTGATTATTATTGGTGACGAAGAGGTTGAAACGGGTAGATATGCAATTAGAACAAGTGAAGATCGAAGGCTACAACACTTAACCGAAGATGAAATATTTGACAAATTTATGAAATTAGAGAAAAATTATAAATGAGTTTAATAATAATGGTCCTATATCAAATCGAATCCTGCCTATATGATATATGTGAAACCATTGACTTTTTAAAGATGCTTGTAAATATTATAGATATTTGATATATTAGTTGTCTAAATTTCTTTAATTGAATATTCCAATGAATATAATGGACTAAAATCATCAATTTTACCAGGCCAAATATTTTCTGGTAGATAATCCCCATTTAACTTTAAGAACTCACTTCTATTCTTTTGGTCTTCTTCATTAATTTTAGACAATTCCAATTCACAATTCTTTATTATATCTGTCATTTTTTGAGCAACTGTCTTTCTTCTCTCAATCTCAAAAAGCAGATTCTGGTATCCAATTTCAAATTTCTGGTAGAAAATACATAAACTCCTAGTGTTGTTTATATCTTCAATGCAAGTTTCCTTAAAGTTATCTATCAGACTCGAAATATCATTGAAAATTAATAAATATTCATGATTTATTTTGAATTCTTCTATTACACCAAAAAGAAGCTTATTACACTCTTTCTGTTTCAGCTCTATTTCATTAAATATACCTAAAAAGGTTTTCAATGTTTCATCCACTTCATCTACAGTTTCTCGAAGTAATGTCACAATTCCATCTAATTCTGAATTATCATTTTTGACAACTTCCAATAAATCTGTATAATCAGGATCTGCTGGCTTCAATGTCTGTAGTAACTTAGATTGATCATAATGGTTTGTAATAGAACTCAAATAATCTGCCAGATCGTGTTCCAAAGATACAAGTTTTGATGGTAAAGTTGTAGTTAATTTTTTTATGTCATCCGAATCATTTTCAAAATTTGTTAAAAAATATTCCTGTACAGATTTTAATCTTTTGTTTATAAGATAGTTAGATACCTTTTTAAACATTGTATTGTACTGTCCCCTAATATTGTCAATATGATATTTAACATTTGGTATTTCCTTTAATCGTTTTTCTAAAATGTCTAAATTATCTCTAGAGACAAAATAACCCAGATTTTTACTTTCAGATTTAGTATCTTCATCCAATATATTCTCTATGCTATCTAAAACCCTAACTTGTTCATTGATTTTAGAATTCCAATATTTCAATTCTTTAGCTAAATCAACTAATATCGATTGTGTCCATTCTTTTTCAATTAAATTTTCTTCTATTCCTACTTTTAAAATACAATTTTTAATAAAAGAACCCTGGTTCTTTAAACAGTTTAATAAAAAACGTATCTTAGAGATAGATCTCTCCCAATGAGAGAAGCTAGATCTTGCATTAGATATTCTTGAATTAGCGTCCTGACAAAGCACTTGAGCTTCTACTAAAGTCTTCCGACTCGCATTCACAAACCTTTCAATCTTCATGTTTATAGAACATTAACAATATTTATACTAACAATATAGCATCAAAATCTCAAATTAGATTTGTATAACAGCTTGCTCTTCCATCAGGTATTAACTGTTCTTGAATACATTCTATCTTTAACTAGTTGATTAACCCTTTAAATATTTCAAGCTCTTAGATCAAAAGTTCGGTATTAAAAAATATCCAAATTTAAAAAATTCATTTGTTAACTTGATGAACTTCACTTAGAAAGAAGTTAAGTATAAAGTGGGGTTTAAAAAGGTATATTTTGATGTTTGGATTGCATTGGGATAGATTTTAATGAATTTTGTGAAGTCAAGCAGTTTAAATGGTGATTTTTTTGGCGGTGAATTAACTAGGAAACGAAAAAATGCTAATTCTGATGATGATATTGATGGAAATGAAAGACCATCTCAAAAGGTTCATAGTATGCTGAATATGAATGCCAAATCATCTCATGACTCTGTTCTCACTCAACGATATGGTATTGGTGCTAAATTGTTGGCTAACATGGGATATGTTGAAGGCCAAGGGTTAGGTTCAAAGGGACAAGGTATATCAGCTCCTGTGCAGGCTCACCAAAGACCGTCTGGAAGAGTTGGATTGGGTTTGTTGAGTATGGTCAATGACGATGAATACAGTGAGGAATCCAGTGATGAGGAAGAAAATATTTCTGCTGATGTTCAAGCTGAGAAAAGCTTTACAGGAATAAGATTTAATGCTCCGAAAATAGAAGAAGATACTAATAAGACAAGAAAGAATGAAATCCAAGTGATAGATATTCTTAGAAATTTAAAATTGGATGAATATTCAAAAATTGATAGCAGTTTCATCCAGGATATGCAAGACCATTTCCGTGAAGGAAACATTAAGGACACTACAGAACTTCAAATCGAAAAACTGAAGGAACTAGATTCACATCATAACTCGGCTTCTGCTCGTTTGAAAAGGCTGAACTCTGAATTGGGAACTATTAATGGTGACTTAGATAGAGTTAAATCTATCCAAGAAAATGCAAAAGAAATCAATAAAATTGACATAACTGAATTAACAAATTTGATCCTAATGCTACCGGACATAAAGACACAAGATGAATTGATATCCACAATTATAAAGGAAAGATACATGGGTTGTAATGAATGGGACCCATTGGAAATTGATAATTTCATTTTAGTTGAAATAAAAAAAGTAGTGGAGGTTCTAAGCTTTGAGATGGAAACAAATGAAAAAGAACTGAACTTAACGCAAACAGCATTATATAAAATTATATTTCCAGAACTATCAAAATATTTCACTGGCTTCGAACTTGTTGATGATAAGTTTAATACCGTACTATCATTAATTCTGGATTATGAAGGGATCCTTGAGTTCATAGGTTGCATGGACTACATTAAAGGAAAATTCATATATCCCACCATAATAAGCAATCTAGAAAGTTTAGAATTCGATCTAACTGATCAGTTCCTATTGTTTATTTCTTCAATTGAAAAGATGTCGTTTCTGTATGATGAAAAATTCAATGATAAATTACATATAATTTTCCAATATAAATTCTCAGAATTTTGTGAAAAGTTTGCTTTTATTCAAAAAGAAACTGTCAAAGATGATGTAATAGTCTCACTGCGACGTATTTTAGGAATCGATGAAATCTATAGCATTAGTCATAAAAAGTTGCTACCTCAGGTGCTTCAACTTTGGGATGAAGAATTTGACTTGCAATTTGAACTAGAGGATCCGGACTTTATTGATTCTAAAAGAGGTTCATTCCATTTTATCAAGACAATTAGAAAATTAAAGAGATTACTCTCGAGTAATGATTACAGTTTAATAATGTACGCCATTTTCAATGAAATAAATAAGATTATATACCAATGGAAGATTTATGCACTAGAGGAAGACCAGAAAAAGACATTGTGGTGGTTTAATTGGATTCTAAATGAATGTTTTGTTGATAGTGATGTAATTGACACTGAATTAAATGAAATTAGAAAGACTACCATGTTCCTATCAGATATGGATTGTGAACATATTAATCCTATCCATGATGAACAATTTAGTTTGAGAAACAAACTTATTGACGGAAACAGTAATATTAAAGTTGAAGACTATAACGTGAGTAGTATTCCGATGAGAAATGTGACTTCAACCTTAAAAGAAGTACTTGAAGATTATTGTGAGCAGAAGGGCTATTCTATCACAAAGGTTCAAAATTCATTTGCTCGCATAGGTTATGGCCATGATTACCAATATGGCGGTTCTCCAGTACCAATTTATAATATTTCAAAAGGTAGTGGACAAAAACAGATTGCATTAAAGGATGATATACTATGGGTCAAAACGGGTCAAGACAACTTTGAACCGATCTTTGTGTGGGAACTTGAAGTCTAATTCATTTAATTCAAATGATCATTTTACTTTTATAATTTATAGATTTGCATATTACTTAATATTTTTAGGAAAAATATTTATTTACAGAAAAATAGTTGTATATACTGTATGATATTAATCATTTTCATTCTTAAAATAGAGTGGAAGAATAGTGAGTATTAACTTGAGTGCATTATTATTTTTTAATTTTTAATTACTGTTTTTTTCTCTTTCTGATATGATGTCTGAGATCTGATAGGACTTTAAAATTGCACGTAAATAGTAAGATAATCATTTTAGTTTAAAACAAGCATCTCAAATTAAAATTAAAGCTTTCGAGAATATTATCTTTATTTTTATTAATTGTCAGAAGATTTTGTTTCAGGTTGAGAAGAAGCAGAGTTAACCTCTGTTTCATTTTCAGCACTGATTGCATCTTCTTCGTCCTTTAGTTGTTCCTCATAGTGTTCAGGGTATTTTCTAAAACAGTCTTGCATATGTTTGAATTTTTCAACACAATCAATACCCTTTGGATCAGCTTCCGAGTACACAAAACAAGCAAATGCTTCTTTGAATTCCTCACCACAAGGACCGTGTGCCATACCACCTAAACAAGGACAATCCCAATTAATTTCACCGGTGTCAGGATTATAAGCCCCTTCTGGTTTTTCTTCTTCTTCTGTCACATCTGGATTATTGCTTTGACCTTGATCTTGACTTTCTACATTAACTTCACCTACTAAGACTTCAGAATCATCACTAGGAGCGATACTTGAGCCAGTTACCTCTTCAACTTCTGCTGTATCGGTAGTATTTTCAATAGTGTCAGCGTCATCTTCAAGAACGACAACTTCTACTGGTACCTCATCTGCCAAGATATCTTCCACCAATTGTTCAACTTCGACGGCATTCTCAAGAGAAGCATCTAGAATTGGAACACTTGAATCTGGTACGTTTGAAGCGTTGAAATCTAATTCAGCGACTTCCTCTTCAGCTGGGATAGGGATTGGCTGTTCAAATTCAACCGGCTCTTCGATAACTGTTATTTCAGCCACAGGTGCTACCACAGGTGCTACCACAGGTGCCACCACAGAAGTTTTCTTTTTGCAATTGCATTTAGGTATGATAGTATAGATTGCCCCCAGAGTTATAGCAGCACCTAAAGAAGCAGCGAATATATTTTCACGAATTCGAGTCTTCCAATTCCCTTGATCAGAATGATCGTGATTTCCTGAGGAAGAATATAATCTTGAAGCGGCAATTAACGCAGGACGAGCAGTTCCTCTAATAAAAGCACCACTGACCGCAGTCTTCACAACCAGAGTACGAGAACCAACACTTCTCAACATCATAGCTAACTGAAAATTTCACTAAAACTTGGAAACTTCTGAAGCAAAAATAAAAATTAAATCTAAACTTAACCTGAAGAACTTGATAATTTCCCCAAAAAAAACCAAAAAAACAAACCAAGAACCACCAACAAGTACCTTATAAACGACAAAAGCAGTCCAAAAGACTCTGGTATCTTTGCTATCTATGAGTTTAAAACAACAACATTATTCCAAGACCATCAATATCTGCTTATTAAAGGTCTTCTTATATTATATTATATTAGCTTATATATCTCTATCTATTGCATACATTAAATTTTTGATTAATAATTACAAATCGAGATATCGCAAGAAAATAAAAGACGTTTACTATGGCGTATATAGTGATGAGGGTAGCAGAGATATAAGAGAAATGTTGATCCAAGACCATACATAAAACCTTTAACTTAAGTAGAACCAACAACAACAACAACAACAACGACACACGACCAAGTATAGTATGCTAGCTATTCAATTTGGATGAATATTGATTTGTTAATTGATCACTGGTTGTAATATATTGGCATAAGCAATTACTCTTCGTTTTGATATTTGAAATTGTAATGAAAAGTATTGACGACTGGCAATGAAAGATGGAGATCTGACAAGAGTTTGTCAAACTCTTGTGATTGATTGATTGATTGATTGTACTGGTAAGGCGACAGGATGCTCACTTCTTTAAGATATATACTTCCTGGTATGATTGTGGTTGTGTCGGTCTGTGTACTTCATATGGCAAAGGGTCCCTCTGGGCTGATTCGCTTAGAATATTCCGTAGGAAGACGACATTTTCCCTAATAAAATTTCAATTCTCATCGATTTGAAATGAAAAATTGAATTGGTTTGACAAGAACTGAAGTCAAAAAATTAAAAAGAATTGAATTATATTAGATTATTTCGAAGTGATAAGCACATGTTTAATCAACTATAAAGTTGTGTTTGGGATATAAGGCTTCAATACTCTTTGAGTTGGTGAATTGTTATTCGTAAAAATTATTTTCAGCATCTGCAGTAGCTCGGGGTGGTTTTAGTTGATTCCAAAGCAAGAGTGTGCTATAAAAGACAAAGTATCTTATTTTTTTACCTATTTGCACTTTTATAATAATGAACAGTGATATTGTGGAGGAAAGTTATGATGAGATGGTTAAACGCCATCTCAAGGAACAAAAAGATTTGTCCAACAAGATCAACTCGATGAAAGGCAATATGAAGAAATCAAATAGAAAACAGATAATGGACAATTGTAAAAATTTGCAATTTGAATTGGATGAAAAGCACAAGAAGGAATTGAATAGATTCAGTAATGGCAATGATGGAATCGAAAACGAAGACGAAGACGAAATCACTCCAGAAATGTTATTAGCTCAATTAAGTATAGAGACAAAGCAACAAGACGAATCAAAATCTGATACCCTCTCTTCTACTGCCAACACCAATCAACCAAGGAAATCTAGAAACAGACAAAAGGAAAGACTAGCAAAAAGGCAACAAAAAATTGAAAAAATTAAGGAGGAAGCTAGAGAAGAAGCTGCAAACCAACCAAATTATCAAGAGATAGAACAAACAGTTTTAGACGATTACTGTTTGGAGCATAAGTTTGTACAATACGATATTAAACCAGACGGTCATTGTCTATTTGCATCGATACTAGATCAATTGACTATTAGTATCAATAATAGTAATAATAAGATCCAATATAATGACGTATCTGAGTTGAGAAAATTGTCTTGTGAATATGTTGATAAAAATAGAGATGATTTCATACCTTTTATGTTTGATGAAACCACTGGTGACTTAAAAGATTTGGATGAATATATTAAGGAAATCTCGGAAACTGCTAAATGGGGTGGTGAGATTGAATTATTATCTTTATCAAAATCATTAAACGTTACTATTAAAGTAGTAATGGCAAACTTAAACAATAACTCTATAAATTTCCATATTATCAATGAATCAGATGATAATTCTCTAGATGTATTGAATTTGGTATACTATAAGCATAGTTATTCATTAGGTGAGCATTATAACTCATTGCGTCCAATGGACTGATATCCTCAAATCTTATCTCAAGTGTTTTAAGTTCAATTTTTTCTCTCAGTTTTTCAAGTTTAACTGATAATAGATAATATAGACCCAACCGATGTACTAATTACATCCCAATAAGTAGATTAAGTAATTATTGAATTAGCATATTTTCATAGCATATATTATTACTGTATTTATTAATAATTCCGACTTTCAGCCAGACTTAATATTTCTTTAAATTCACAAATATGGCCCTTCTTTCCAAATCAAGACGCCTTTTCATTATCAATATCTAATTCAATATATCTTTTGAATTTTAAATATGCTTCATACATAATGGAAAATTAATATGGAATAGTAACAACTACAGATAAGATATCAATTAAACTCTTAAATTTTAGTTGATTGAAGTTTCAAAGAGGCATTATTTGATATGCTAGGGAGAAATACCACTAATTTAAAGGCTGGTATAGTTGGTTTGGCAAATATTGGGAAATCGACACTTTTCCAAGCAATAACCAATTCTAAATTGGGCAACCCTGCTAATTATCCATTTGCTACAATTGATCCATTAGATTATAGAATTCCAATACAAAATGAGAAGTTAGATTATTTAAAAGAATTTTATCAAAGTGAAAGAATCATTCATGCTCCTTTGACTTTATATGATATAGCAGGATTAACAAGAGGTGCATCATCAGGACAAGGTCTAGGAAATAAATTTCTAAATGACATTAGAAATATCGATTCAATTCTTCATGTTGTGAGAGGATTCAAAGATGATGAAATCATTCATTTAGAGAAGACAGTTGATCCGATAAGAGATTTGGAATTGGTAAATGATGAATTGATTTTAAAAGATTTGGAATTTTTAGAGAATGCAACTGAAAGATTGAATAAAAAACTTAAAAATAGATTAGGACCAAAAGAAGATGGACAATTGTTACAAAGAGAAGTTAATTTTCTAAATGAACTTCAGGATCATTTATATAATGGTAAGAAAATAATCCATTACAAACAGAACTGGACTACCGATGAAATCTCCATTTTGAATACATACAATTTCCTTACTGCTAAACCTACATTGGTTTTATTGAATGTCAATCCACATGAATATATATTATCTCAAGTAGATAAGGATAAAACTCCGGTCATAAAAGAAGTTAAAGATTGGTTAACAGAAAACTCACCTGGTGATGATTTATTGCCTTTCAGTGGACATTTCGAAACCAAGCACAATTTACTAAAAGATGACCAAAAAGAATTTCAAAATTACTGTTCTGATATTATCAACAATGAATTAGGAGGTATCACCGATGTTCCTATCGACCCTATGTTAATTGGTTCAATAGTTCCTTCGATAATTAAGAAAACCAAAAACCTATTAAGTTTAATCAGTTTCTACACATGTGGCGATATCGAAGTAAGAGAGTGGGTTATCAGAAATGGAACTACTGCAGCAGAAGCAGCTGGGGTCATTCACACTGACCTACAAAAAACTTTTATAAATGCTGAAGTTATCAATTATAATTCTTTGATAGAATCTGGATCGAAAAATATTAAGGAATCTAATTTGAAATCTAAAGGCCTAATTAAAAGAGTTGGGAAAAAACATATCATGGAAGATAACGATATAGTTCTTTTCAAATCTACTGCATCCAAGAAATAATTAATATAAACCGTGCTTCATAGCATATTTATATATAAATGTATAACGAATATCATGTAAATATTAAACAAGAAACCAGTAAATAAAAAAAATGTATCAGAGCGTTTGACATATTCTCTTCTCCCTTTATAATAAATTATAATCGAAGAGCTGGGTTTATAGCATTGTCACTAAGGACATTTTCTCATCATAAACATTCCTTTATTAATTATCATATATTAAGATAAAGAACATATGACTATAAAAATAGACATATGGCTTCAACTGAAGCAATTAATCCAACCAATGATCTCAATTGATCACCTTGTCTCCATTATCAGAAGTAATAAATTACTTCAACATCAATACCAAATACTGATGGTTCAAAGAAGTGTCAACATTAAATTGGTATTGGTGCTTTTATATGTTTTCGAAATTTTTCAAAATTCACTTCGAACATGTGAAAAAAAATTTTCTTCGAAATAAATTTCTTAGTACGGACTGAATTTTAAAGATGTCAGGGCTTGTTTTAACGATGAGATGTATTGTCATACTATAAATTTAAGGATAGTTCATTTATATTCCTTTCATTTTTACCAGTTTTATATGTTATATTGATATTATTTGTAACATAACAAAATCAGTTGTCAAATTATCCAGTTCTTTTTCAATATAGATTCCTGACTAAATAAATCTCTGGAATTCGTCTTATGAGAAACCTAGTGATAACATAGTGCCAATAATTCTAAAATATACATTGTTTAAATTACAAGGGCATAAACTGTATTGTTTTTGGTGGGATCTAGAGTATTATATCAATCTGTTAATGGTTAGCCAAATTATTAGCTTTGAAATTATCAATACATTTTGCGATATTACGCGACACTGTAGATCGCATTTGCGATCCATTAACTGAGATGGAGTTTTTAAATACTTTTAAAAATATAATTAATTAATATTATTAATTTACTGAGTTTCAGTTATAATGGAATAACCCAACTATCACTATTAGTAAGAACAAAAGTTGGACCAAAGTAATTTTAAGTTCCACTAGTACTCGGATATATTCTTTCTCGAAGTAGTATTTAAATGTTAGTATCATTATTATATGACTGAGATAAAATTCAAGAGCTAGTATAAAAATTTTAGAATATAAGTTCAATTGGCGACAAAAAATGAACTTCGATTGTGATCTCGAAATTCGTCTAATTATTCTTCAAGAAAAATTAACGATCATATTTACTTAGGGATCTCATCATTATTACTTGAATAATACTAAATTAACTCGAGATTAATATAATTGCATATTCTATAGCATTTGTTATTAACATGCAAGTTATAGTATCAAATATTCCAATTGTTAAAGAATAAAGTCTCCTGAGATACGCCTATATTGAAATGCAACATAATGATATTCCTAACAATCAGTTCATAACGCTAATATTTCCTAGTCTCCTAAGTGCTATCATAATATTAATCTTGTAGAGAATTATGTTGTGGTTTTTCTACCGAATCATTCATAGTAATAGATTCTTTATTTATTTCCAAGGACATTCTTAATAAGTTGATATTGATCCGGTGTATTAAAGTATATAATATACACATGGGAATATAATTAACATGACAAGTGTCAATTAAGATCTTGTCATTTCTTATATAAAGTGTTGGAAAAGTTTTAACGTCAGAAATAACACTTTCGTGTAAAGTAACATTTCTTTATCCTATATGAATAATGTCGTAATACGTATATATCACGTGTTACCTCATAATTCTGACAAATCTTAATTAAACCGACAAGAATAATACACATATATTTTGCAATTAATAGAATTTAAGAAATCCCGTGCCATTTAGATCCAAAACGTTTATGCTGATGGTAATTATTTTTTAAGTTCTTGATACACCTATTACATCTGGTAAAACAGGTCCAATACGGTTCTGGTTGTGGCTTTGTTTACAGAAGTAGTGGCTGGTTTTAGGTAAAATATTTCTTAATGGCGACGATTTAGTCAAAATAGTTCTTTTTGAAAATCACTTAATTTTATTGGTCCTATAGTGTAGTGGTCATCACTTTCGGTTTTGATCCGGACAACCCCGGTTCGAATCCGGGTAGGACCTTATTTTTTTTTTTAGTTTATTCTCACCACAGTCCCTCCGCAAAATAGTAAGCTCATTCTATTCATATCTCCGTTTAAGTTAAAGAATCGTACTATTAAGCATAAACTTCAGTCATCCAAAGAAAATTGGGCAAGTTACAGTATCAAATTTAATACAAGACCATTATCCATTTTTTTACTGCCTACAAGAATTTTTTTTAATGGAATCCCTGCATTCATTCACGATACAGATTTTTAAATGAATGTTACATAGAAACAAATAGGACCATGTTTTCTTCCCCCGCTTGATATATTTGCCTCCATCTCAATCTCCACCTCGAAACCATCACATCATATCATATCATACCAATTTTTACTTAATTTATTGACATATATAATTGCACTATCAATATACCAAAGCAACCTTTCTTGTATCCAACAATACAGAGAAATGCAACAATATTCATAACGACTACCTGCATTGTCATAAATTACAAAGTCTTTTGTTGCTATCTTTGACTTCCTCATCAATTTACGCTACCAAACTAGCTAAAGTTGAATCGGATTAATACATAGATTGGAAACGTCATAGATCCATCTTACATACTATCAACAATAAAAATAAATCTCATAATTGGATACAAGTTGAACATGGTCAACGAGCATATGGCTACTTAACAATACTGGATTAATTTATGGATTGGTTGATTGATTGATCTTGAACAATGTGATAAATGTATTTGGGGATCGGAGAAATGTAACTTAAAATGGAAGCATTATTTGGAAAATTATATAGTCCAGTAATTTTAACCCAATCTGTCCTTCTTTCTTTGTTTCGGTCTTTCTTTCTTTTGCTTGATCAACCGTTAACAACCGGTTAATTACGTAAGAGCAATGTAAGCACAAAACACTTCTAGTGTCCAATAAAAAGCAAATTGAACCATGAAGTAGGCTTAAAATTGTAAGTTTTTATGTTACCCTTTTGACGTTAATCACTAATCGCTTGATCGAATAATTCATTTTACCAACATCATCAAAGTCAAGGCAAGGCAGGGATGTATGCGAGTGTATATGTGGTTAAATAGCAACAGGCATCGAACTATTGTTGCTTCTCTTGAAGAAACTGGTTTAAGAAAGTGGCTGAGTTGAAGTAATTGGTTTCTTTTTAAACTTTGTAGTCAAAAATCTCAAACCCAATATTCTTGTTGCTTTTCTCTTTTCTTCCAGTATGAATTTTTCTTTTTACATTTTTTTTTTCCAGCAGGAGAACTAGCCCTAGCTCGAGCTCTTAGAGAGCTGTAGTTTGAGTTCGAATTCGAGTTCGATTACTAGTAGTAGCAGTAGTAATAGTAGCTTCATAACTATAGGATTCTTTCCATGCTAGCAAGGCCATCTCTTGTTGTCGTACTTAGATTTCTTGCTGTCTCTTGTTGAAGTTCAATTTGGATCAGAATCTGTTTCAATTGCTGTTTTATTTAGAAATTGATATAAAACTCATTGTTATCTTCCTAGTTCTTAAGACACTATTGTCTAGTAAGACTTCTATGTTTTAACAAATTTATAGAAAAAAAAATTTTCACAATAGTGTTTCTAATTGATATATAAACTTATAGCCTCTTACAGGTACCATTAGGAACTCATCTACAAAGATTGACAAGCCACATCTCTAATTCGTCTTTGTTTCCCACTAGATCAAGAATTGATTTTAATAAATCTGCGACTATTCAAAGGTATCAAGTACTTTAAGTGATTACAATTGACCTGCCACTCCATCCGTCAGCTTAATTAGAAGAAAAGAATTTTTTACATATCAAAGATGAGTTATCAACAGCAACAATATCCTCCTCAACAATATCCTCCTCAACAACAGTACCCTCCACAACAAGGTGGGTACTATCAACAACCACCACCTCCACAACCTCAACCAATATATATTCAACAAGCTCCACCTCAAAAGGAAGATGATGGATGTTGTGGTTCACTATGTAACATCTTATTATGTTGTTGTATTTTGGAAATGTGCTGTAGTTAATCGATTTCAGATGAAATTGTATAGGAAGGTGTCTATAATATAACAAGTTTATCTTAGTTTGCATAATTGTTCCAACGATGGAATTTTGTTTCCCAATTAAAAACCAATTCCCTATAAGAATGGAAACCATATTTATATAGTAATTTTAATAATAATAATTTAGTAATAACAATGATAGAAATCATCATTCCAGGAAAGTATTGTATTTGTATTATCTTCAGTTTAATTTTATATTGTTTTGTCTATTTTATCTAAAGCCATTAAGTAATATATGCAAAGTGATATTTAAGTGTAGTGGTATTGTTAATAGGTTTTCCCAGTTGGTTGAGTCGTAATTCTAATATTTTCTAATAAAGAGTAATAATTGTGATATATTTTACTATTGTTTTTTCTGTTTCCCACTTTTTTGATGCTGTTGTTGTAAGATTCGTATCTGATCTTTCAATTCATCATTTTCCTTCTTTACTAACTGTAGTTCAATCTGTGTTTCTTTGGATCTCCCATATGCCAACATCTTTGACATCTCTCTATTTTCTTTAGTCAATGTCTCGATTCTGACTATTATCTTATGAGAAAGTGACTCGATATCATATCTTCCATACTTTGTAATTGAATTACTTGGTTCAGCAGCAACTGCTGTTAATACACTCTCTAAATTTCTCATTGTAACCGCTAATTCTTGTTCTTTGTCATGCAAAGCGACAGATAATTTTCTGAAAATATTCTCTAATGTAGAAGGTATAGAAATTTTATCACCATTATTCTTATTTGAATTGTTAATATTTTCTTTACCGATTGATTTATTCTTATTTTTAAATCCACTCTTAAAGATCCCCTTTAACTTCTGAATTTCATTTTCTAATGATTCAATTTGAGTCTCCTTAACTTGTAATAATAATTTCAACTCTTCATCTATTTCTCTTTGATTAATATTTGAAGACTCAGTAGTGTTTGAATATGTGTCAAACATGCTGTTATAGCTTGTATTGATGCTAGGATTGACATAGCTCTTATTTGAAGTTAAATTACCTGCAGTAGATGTCCCAATTGATTCCATGACGTTTAAATTATCATCGCCATTTTGAGAACTAGAACTTAATTGATCCCTCCAAATATTGGCATTATTTGATGAAATAGGGTTACTTGATAAGTGTTCTTGATTATTCCCAGTTAAATTTCCTTTCAAATTATTATAATATTGATATGTATTCATTTGTTGATGCGGATGTAATGGAAAATTTGTAGTTGGCGTGACATTACTTTTAGGATTGACATTGTTATTATTGTTAGTCGTACTATTATTATTAAAAGATCCATTCTTAATCATATTGTCCATTTTCTCAGAACCATCATACATAGTTAATTGAGAATTAAATGAGATGCCACTTGCAAATGAATTATCCAAAGAAGGACGGTCATAATTATAATTCATATAATTCATTTTCTATTATACTTTAGTTATTTTTTTTAGTTTATCCTAGTAATATTAACAATATAGCCAGAAAATGTTGATCCCGAATTTCTTGTATGGACTTGCAAACTTGGAGTTAAATTAAATGACAAATTTAAAATCCATCAAAAAAGACCATCTCCTTAAATATACTTCATGTCATTATTGGATGATCCATTATATTCTTTACTAAGTGATCTTTGGATCTTAGTCGTTTTTTTGATCTGTCTGTCCTGTGATATTTCACCGAAGCTCCGAAACCATTTTAAATCAAGAACAGGAGAGATATCACACTGGTTAAACAAGATGAGATATATCAAAAACGTAGTTTATGAATGGGGTATTGGATCAACAAGACATGGAATAAGGATTAATTTTCATTTAATGTATGTTGATATACTTCTGGGACTGTTACGAAGATAAATAATGAAATAAATGAGCGTTATATTTAGTTTTCTATATAAATTGTAGTTAAATATGTTCTATATAAATTGTAGTTAAATATGTTCTATAAAAATTGAAAAAGGTTGAATATATGAACATTGGAATGCATAAATGATTATGATAATGAAGGTATTTTTTGTAGTTCTATGTGTGTGTTTGTACTGGATTGATGAGGTTCAACTTAACTGACGGAAGCCAACCTACAAATTGGATTCTCTTATAAACAGTACTTAATGAAACCGAAACAACCAACAGTGAATGCAATTAGAAATGAGCTGTGAAGACAGAATGAATCGAATGAAGTCATTAAATAAAATGGCAAATGGATGTAGTAGATCCAATATAACTTTTCACCAAGTTTTTCGAGCAGTTCAACGAAGAAGTTACCTTTACCCTTACGTAGTTTTCTCTGATGACCAGTCTCTACATATTGCATTGATGAGACATATTTGCTAGGAGAAGCTGTAGTAGTGAATTCTTGGGTAGACATTATCAATTCTTTAGTAATATATATTTGTTATTTGTATAATAGTCAATCAGGATGGAGCTTTCCTTGTATGTTATTAACAACTTTTAATGCAGAATGGTATTTTGCAACTTGTTGAGATATTTGGTTACTACAGTGAAAAAGAGTATATACAAATATATAATGTACATTTACAAGTGATGGTAATAGAATTTGGATGTCATATTTCAATTTGATCCTCTTATATATATTTAAATGTGGACAAATCTGCCTCGCTATATTAGTTCAAAGTTTAAAATTGATATAGCCATCTTATCACTTGATTTAATTTCGTTTAAAGGTCTATAACAGAAACTTCATGGGAAAATTTATAGAAAAAGGAATGGATAGGTAAATACCTACTGCAGGTCATCAAGAAGCTTCCATGGAATCTCACCGGATTTCTGATTCCTGCTAAGATGGCACGGAACATTCATTCATAAGCCCAGATTGAAAGATAATCAACCTGATTACTCAGTTAATTGGTGATTGGTTCATTATTATGATAAGAAATAGTTTTAAGCTTAAACTAATGCCACTATTTCGATAAAAAATTTTTTTGCGTTTCTTTAGCTCTTCACATCAATTCACTCTACTAACAGTAAAACATAAAGAGCAGCATTCTGGATTATGAAAAGGACTTTGCTAATAAACTAGAGTAACTAAAAGCAACAAATTATAATACTAATTGACCATTGTTGAGTAGTGTAGAAAACTTAGCCTTAAAAATGCATTAATGCTTGTCTTTCCCAATAAAGTCCCATTTTTAGCAACTGCAAATAGCCCAATTCACTCGTTTTCTTTACTTAAAAATTATTTTCGTTTCTTTTTTTCATTTTTTTTTTCATCCATTTCGAACCTCACAACTTTCTGACCTAGCTCATATGAACAGAAATTGATGGGATGGCTCTTAAAAGAAGAGCATCTCTCTCTGTCTCTATCAATTCTATCCTATTTCTCTTCAAGAATACCCTACTCAATTTGTTGCTTAATGGTTCACCATTAAAAAGAGACAAGGCATACTGATGAGCTGAATCAATTCGCTACTTTAGCTCTCAGTTTGATGTAACTTACCATCAACCTACCAATTCTCCTTACTAATACTTGTTCGAAGTTGACAACCGGAAAGTTGGATGAGGTGTAGACATTTCAGGTCAAAACATTATTCCTCTTTACTTTTTATTATTATTTTGTTTTAATTTGACTTCGATGAACTGATATTTAACAATAATTCATTCCACTCGAAGTGCAAAACCACTCGTTTAAGTACACAAGTATGTATCTGATGAAAGGTAATGTGTTTCTTTGTTATGTTTATAGATTATGATCTCTTAAGAATTAACAAGAGATTTCATTTTGTATATTTGTGTGGGGTGAAGAACCATTACAAAATTCCATAGTGTTGGGTTCGTTTTATTTTACTGTTGTTGATCTTGGAAACTTTGTAACATATTCAATTTCAAGAATGATAATATGTGATCCCAGAATAGGAAATAATACCTCGATCATAACCATTATTGTTATCATCAATTCTGATATTTTTCATAATTATACAAATAAATGATTTTAAAAAGAAAGCACACTGTTTGGCAATGAAACTAGACGAATTTTAAGCCAATATTTCCGTGACAACAAATATAGAAATCGACGTAATAGAGCCAACCCATTAGATATGTCAAAGATCCATGGGATGCACCATCGATATAGAGAATTAATTCAATTAATTAACAATTCAATCCTTAGTAAAAAACAGTTTCTTCAGTTACATAAAGTAAGCCGATGCTCGATTCGATCAATGGGAAATAGTTTCCATTGTTAATAAATGGAATGGGCTATGAAGAAATCTATGCCTGAATTGTATTGATCAAAACTAAAGAGTTTCTTTGACAGTTAAGCCTTGTGCTCTCTTGTAGACTTGAGATGGCAGTATCATCTTCAGTTCCGAATTGAGGTATCTGGTGTTTTACTAGGTTGAATATCCAATTGTCAACAGTATATACATATATGAAAAATTAGATATCCACGGAACTACTTACAAATTGAGAACAATCTAAGAGTGAAAGGTGAAAAGACAGATAAGAAAAAACCTTTTCTTTTTTTTATTACGTTTCGTTAGAATTACTATAAATGAAAAGCCATCTCTTCACAAGAAGGACCCTTTCTAGTTCCAATTGGTTGAATTGTATAGCATCTTATATAATTTAGTGTCTGTGGAAGCTAGATAAATACTCTATCTTTAGTAGTTGATAATTGATCTTGCTCATTGTTAACTACTTTCTCGATAAGAGTTAATCGATCTCTATCTGAAAAGCAAGATTGATTCCTGAAAGTTGGATATCAAAAAAGTTTACTTATAGCTATTAGAAGTATCTTAAAAAGTATTTACCAGAAGTAGAAGGAAAAAAAAATACCATCGTAGTTTTGTTTTGCTTTAAATTGATAAATGTTACACTAAATAAAGAAAGCAGTATATAAATAATTGTATCAATAGGCAGATAGTTTTGATGTGCTTATTTCTTGTCGCCTTTGAACACCGAGAAGAAAGACCTTCTTTTACCACTGGAGGATTCTGATTTAAAGTTATCACGACGCAGTCTTTCAAGATCTAAAGATTGACGTGCTCTAGAAAAGGAATTTCTCACTTCGCTGGATAGCGATATGCTGCTACCACTCTCTCCTTTTCTTGAATTTTTGTATTTTTCTAAGTCGTGGTTAACTCTGTTACCATTACGTGATAATGTTGATTCATTATTATTCCTGTGGCTAGAGGTACTTCCATACTGAAATACATTCCCATGTGAATTGGAATTTGAATGTAAATGAGAAGATGAACTATCTGAATGGCCCGTTTGGATATTGCTATTTTTATTTGTTGAAGGGTTAGATGCCCTTGATTGAGCTTTCAAATCTGGTGAAGTAAAATGAACTTCTTGATACTTTAAATCTAAAGAACGGCGTGAATTTTTAATGTCAACAGTAGTCTTTTTAAAGCTGTCATCCTTTGATCGTGAACTATGTCCTTTTGATACAAGTTCTGATCTTGGATGAGAATTGTCTCCTGTAATCAGTAAAGGTGACTTAAATTTAACCTCATCATTTTTAATGCTATTGATATTTGATATTCTACCAAGATGTTTGCCCTTTTTAGCATCATCTAAATTTATATCAATACTTTCACTTGACAACATCGAGTTCTCTAATTCGTCTGTTGGCGATGCATCACTTCCTGGCGTGGTTTGAGAATCATCTTGGCTAAAATCTAATTCATTGTAAGTAAGATCTAGATTAGCTCTTGGCTTTTCAAAACTTCTTGACTTCTTCATACCGGTGCTCTCTTCGGACTTTTTGTTAGAAGGTTTCCTAGGTAGTCTTGGAGGCGAGAGTTCTATTAATACATTTGATTCATCCAAAATTCTATCACTAATTATTTTTGCCCGTTCGTCTTCATTACGTTCAATTTCCTCATGAATTGACTTCTTCCGAGATAAACTCTTTTCTTTCCTTGGATGTGGAGGTAGTGGTGGTACAGCATCATCCTTTCCAGAAGTGACGCTGTTCATCACTGGAGTCTTGCTAACCATGGAATTGGTATTTATATTTCCTAGGTTCGGTTTGTTCATATTTGCAGTAGTTGGGGAAGTCGAATATGGAACTTGAAAATATTGGACATTAGGAACCCCATAGTTAAACTTCATTCTCATATCGACTTGACCATTTGGAATGTTTGCTTTTGGTATCGTATTAACAGGATTTTGTTGAACATTAGGTGGCTGAGGGGTTTGAAAATTCAACTGAGGTTGAGAATTGGCATATGTTTCCCTGGCGTCAAAATATAGTGGATTCTGAAATGGTTGGGGCAATGTCTGGTTCTGGCCAATAATGTTCGTTTGTTGGTTATTCTGAGAAATGGAAGGTAATGTTGCTGAATTATCAGTATTTGGAAATTGACTATTCTCCATAGTCATAGGGGCTGCATTCTGTAATTCATTCATAAAGTAAGTGTTAGCTGCCTGTTGATTTGGTAAGCTTGCCTTATATTCTTCAGTCATTTTAGGGAATGGGTTATTTGATTTATGCTGTTTTGTTGCACCTGTGGCATCTTGTTTCTTTGTTGTTTCAATACTTGAAGCTTCTTCCTTTTCTAATTCTTGACGTATTAGATGTGTGCTCTTTGATGATTTTGCTCCACTTGAGGAAAATGAGCTTGAACTCTTCGGTCTTTGTGAATAAATAGGAGCAGATAAGTTAAATTCAGCCAACGGTTGCTCTATAGATTTTGGAATATCCACAGATTGGCCTGGATGAGGGCCACTTAATGTTTTATACATTTGTGCCGCGGTTTCATATTGTTCAGTATCATTTAAAACATTTATGCTAATCGCTCTTTCTAGTTGTATATTTGACTCAGAAAATAAGGGCGGTTGAGTATTTTTGTTAGAGTCATTAGTGCTTGATGTATGCCTTGATAATCTATCTTCTGATATTACAGATTTCCTATTTTCCAACCTTTCTTCCGATTGATTTCTTGATTTAGAAAAGATGCTAGGTTGGTCATTTTGCGTGACAGATAAATAATTTGAATTTGAACCTGTACTTATAGTTGTGTTTGGGATTGAATTTGAATCTATAGGAATCTTTGGTGATAATTCAAAAGTCGATGTATATAAGTTATTCAGCAGTATTTCATCTGATTGATTTAACTTTCCATCATTTTCTGTTTTTCTCTGTTGTAAATTAAACATTTGAACCTGTAAAGATTGTAATTCATTTTGGAATTTTCTAAATTGATCAAAGTTATAAGGACCTTGACCATACTTATCTGTAATTTCTAATCTAGTACCTGATATTGAGCAAATTTCATGTAGAACTTGATATATATTTGGTCTTAAATTTGGATTTTCGGATAACATAATAATAATTAGGTTTATCAATCTTGAAGAGTAATTAGTTTGTGGGAAATCATATTTTGAATGTAAAATTGCAAATTGTCCTGTCATTTCGAATGGGGTGATATAAAACAATAATTTGTATAAGAAAATACCCAATGCCCAAATATCTGATTTTTCATCAATTGGCAGGCATTTATAAAGATCGATCATTTCAGGGGATCTATATTGTGGGGTAGTATGCATGAAAATATCTTGTGATAAAATTGCTATATCTTGATGAGCTGATACAGCAGGGAAACATTTTGAAGTTGAGCCGAAATCGGCTAATTTGAAACCATTTTGGGAATCTACCAAAACATTTTCTATTTTGATATCTCTATGTATTAGAGGTGGTGATAAAGTATGCATTTGAGCTACAGCCAATGTTACATCATGCATAATTGTTAAAATTTCCTTTTCCGATAATTTTGTAGTTAATCTTTGATTCATGAAATCTAGCAATGATTTATTTGGACATAGTTCCATTAGTAGCAATACTTCGAATCCGTTAGTCCCATCTTTACGACGAGAAGCGTTTGAATCGAAATACTGCACTATGTTTGGTGCGCCTTTTAATAATTTCATTACTTCTACTTCATTTCTCATTTCATTTAAACCATTTTCATCTTGGACTAGGACTCGTTTCAAGCATGCCAAATCTCCAATTTTTAAAGGTATATTAGAATTATTACTGTCGAATTCATTTGAATTTTCCAGGAACTTGACGATGTAAATTTGAGCGAAACCACCTTCAGTGAGATATTTCACAATTTCCACTTTTTTATTGCCTACCACTACAGTGGAACCGTTTGCGAATTTCTCTACAGCAGAAGGTTTATTTCCTGAGCAGTTAGCTCCTCTTGAAGACGATCCATCTGATGGAGACATAATCGATCTAATGAGAAGGGAATGGAGGGTAGGGGAGGGGATGGGATGGGATGGGATGGGAAGCAAGTATAAGTTGAAAGGTATCAAACCAATAAATAATGCAAAATAGATGTGAATAAAAAAGTATAAGCTTATACAATTTTTTTTTTATTTGTCTTTCAATAATGATAATGATAATGATAAAAAAAAATCTTAGTTCTTACCAGAAGAATAATGTGAGTGCACACCTATAAGCCCAATCTATAGTTAGTTGGAAGAAAGAAAACAAAAGATTAAAAGTGACGAGCCAGATATGAACCTGAAATAGAGTATCAGTGTGTGTATGTGTATGTGTGTGTAATACTGTAGTTATATATATATAATATATCTTAAACTAAACTAAGCTTGAACACCTTTTCGCTCTTTAAAATATAAAACAAATCAAAGAACAGCTGTGAGCACAGGGGGTTGGAGGGGAGGGCGTTGAGATAGTATAATTGGGGAGGGATGAAAAGGTGATTGTAGGCAGACGTGAAAAGAGAGAGAAGAGTAGTAAATACAATGATACAGAAATTGATAGTCTAATGTATGTAACAAGAGCACATACAAATATATAAACCGAATCGATAATAAAATTAGTATTAATATTAGTATTAATTAATATTCGAAACATCGAAACATCGAAACATCGAAATAGAATCGATATCTCTGAAATAAATCAAATTTCATTTGCATCATATCGTATCGTATCGTATCGAAAAGGGGCCAAATTTCAAATTTCAAATTTCGATAAACTTAACACAGTGTGTGTAACTGTATTAGCATAGCATAGTATCGCATAGTATCGCATAGTATAGTATAGCATACCATAGTTAACAACAATATGGCACAGTGTAGTATCGCATAGTGATGGATGAGGATATGTGTTCTGGTTTTGGGTATCGGCCAGTTTAGTTTTGACACAGATGCGTAGAGAAACGGGTGTAGGCCTGTGGGGGGGAGGCGAGGACCCGAAAAAATTTGAAGTGAGATGTATGTAGGAAGAGAAAAAGAAGTCACGTGGGCTTTCACACATACATGGACTCTCTGTTTCTTGGCTCTGTCTCTGTCTAGTTACCCGGATACCGTTTTCTGTTGTGTCCTTCTCTCTGATCTGCTTGTGTTTTTCTTTTACTCTGTCTCTCTCCACCATACCGGTGGGGAAAAGGCGGAAGGGAAATTGGTTAGACTCTGGCACGTGCTTTTCGTGGTAAGCGATTATGTCTGTCCGGTGTGACTATGGTTTGTCCGTGTTTCCATTTCTTTTCTTTCGAAATGCGAAAGAAATCATCAAAAAAGAAACGACCGACAATTGAACCGATTCTGGAAAGAGAAAGAAAAAGAAAAAGTGAAAAATTTTGACGACAAGAAAAAAAAAAAAAAGAAGAGATGAGAAGAAGATTCCATCAAGATTATACAACTACTTACTATTTGATCTAATTTAAATCTTGGATACACACACTTTTTGTATCTCTTATCATTGTCGTCTTGATTCTTTTTACTGACTGATTGTTTCAATAAACCTGTGATTCTCTTATATATTCATATATATTTATATTTATTACTTATACTTACGCAGATTGTGTCTGAGTTTCAAATATATATAAATCTTGTTCAACCTGATTTATCTTTTTGAACCGATTATATTAATTTATTATAACAGGAGGATATCAAACAACCATATAATAATTAGATATGTCCCAAGAAGAAGCTACTAAACAGGTTACTGAAAATGTAGCCAACTTACATTTGGATGATGTTACCGGTGAAATGGTTTCCAAATCTGAATTGAAAAAACGTATTAAACAAAGACAAGTCGAAGCTAAGAAAGCTGCAAAGAAAGCTGCTGCTCCACCAAAGGCTGAAGGTAAAAAGAAGAAAGATGACGCATTGGCTGATCTAACTCCTTCCCAATACTTTGAAGCTAGATCAAGACAAATTCTAGATTTAAGACAAAAAAAGACTCCAAACCCATATCCACATAAATTCAACGTTAGCATTTCAAACCCAGAATTTTTGAAAAAATACGCTTACTTGCAAAGAGGTGAAACTTTGCCAAATGAAAAGGTCTCCATCGCTGGTAGAATCCATGCCAAGAGAGAATCTGGTTCAAAATTGAAGTTTTACGTCTTACACGGTGATGGTGTAGAAGTTCAAGTTATGTCTCAATTACAAGATTACGGTAACCAAGATGTTTATGAACAAGACCATGATTTATTGAAAAGAGGTGACATCGTAGGTGTCGAAGGTTACGTCGGTAGAACCCAACCAAAGAAAGGTGGTGAAGGTGAAATCTCTGTCTTCGTCGAACGTATCGAATTATTGACCCCATGTTTGCACATGTTGCCAGCTGATCATTTCGGTTTCAAAGATCAAGAAACTAGATACAGAAAGCGTTACTTGGATTTAATTATGAACAAAGACGCTAGAGGCCGTTTCATCACTCGTTCTAAAATTATCTCTTACATCAGAAAATTCTTGGATGAAAGAAGCTTTATTGAAGTCGAAACTCCAATGATGAATGTCATCGCCGGTGGTGCCACCGCTAAACCTTTCGTCACTCACCACAACGATTTGGATATGGACATGTACATGAGAATTGCCCCAGAATTGTTCTTAAAAGAATTGGTCGTCGGTGGTATGGACCGTGTTTACGAAATCGGTAGACAATTCAGAAATGAAGGTATCGATATGACTCACAACCCAGAATTCACCACTTGTGAATTCTATCAAGCATACGCTGATGTCTACGATTTGATGGATATGACCGAATTATTATTCTCAGAAATGGTTAAGGAAATCACTGGTTCTTATGTCATCAAATATCACCCAGATCCAAGCAACCCAGAAAAGGAAATGGAATTGAACTTCACTAGACCATGGAAGAGAATCAACATGATTGAAGAATTGGAAAAGACCTTCAACGTTACTTTCCCAGCTGGTGATCAATTGCATACCGCAGAAACTGGTGTCTTTTTGAAACAAATCTTGATTGACAACAAATTGGACTGTCCTCCACCATTAACTAACGCCCGTATGTTAGACAAATTGGTTGGTGAATTAGAAGATACCTGTATTAACCCAACCTTCATCTTCGGTCACCCACAAATGATGTCTCCATTAGCTAAGTACTCTAGAGATCAACCAGGTTTATGTGAACGTTTCGAAGTTTTTGTAGCTACCAAGGAAATCTGTAATGCATACACTGAATTGAATGACCCATTCGACCAAAGAGAACGTTTCGAAGAACAAGCTAGACAAAAGGATCAAGGTGATGATGAAGTCCAATTGATTGATGAAACCTTCTGTAATGCATTAGAATACGGTTTACCACCAACTGGTGGTTGGGGTTGTGGTATTGATAGATTGGCCATGTTCTTGACTGATTCTAACACCATTAGAGAAGTCTTGTTATTCCCAACCTTGAAACCAGATACTCAAAGAGATGAAACTAAGAAGGAAGAAAATTAAATTTAATGTAACACCTTATGAGTTATTCATTGTGTATAAGATAATTTTATTATTTAACTAATTGTAATTAGGTTGTTCGAAATTGTAATAAATTTGCTTCAGTTAGAAACTTAAATCTTTTAATTCATAGAAGTATAAATAAAAAAATAATAAATTAGAATATAAAATTTAGAAATTAAAAAAATGCAGAAAGGTATTAGTATTATTATATAGTAGTATCATATTATAAATGGCGGATATACTCTCTACCATCTTGAAAAATCTAATGTACAGAATAAATTTGAGCGTTACGCTAAATTGTGAAATTTAAAATGAGTTCTTTTTTGGAATGTAAATATCAGTTTGAATGGTAGTTGATGTACTATAAGCTTCGAAAGGATCTCTATTGGATTTCTTCTCCAAGTCATTTTCAGGATTAACTGCTTTCAACTTGTTCTTAAAGTATAATCTCTTGATATATTTGTATAATTCAGCACCCATCCAAAATGCTGCAGAAAATGCAATGGCAATACCCCATTCGGCACCAATTGGTTTGTGTAAGAAAACATCGGTGTTAATAACTGGAATATATATAACTGGGAATGCAGAACCGAACCCAAAGATAACTGACCAAAATAAGAATTGGTTTCCCCAAATATCTTTGAAAAATTGTGTGAATGGTGAATCAGTTTCTGGTTGCATTCTAAAGAAAGATCTTCTCATATCGATTACTTCCCAAGCTAGAATTAAGGCACACCAAGTCATAGTAGCAAAGGCAGCTGAACGAGCTCTAAATACATCGTGACAACTATCGTTATATTTTCTGTTACAGTTATAACCCAATTCACCATCGAAGAAACCATACATGATAGATGTGAATGTGCTCATACAGCAACCTGCCATCAAAATACCATAAGCAAACATATCAATTATTACTTCCCAAGTAAATATACCGTGCTTAGAATCATTTGGTGGTCTATCCATTAAATCTGGTGCTGCCTTTTCCAAACCCAAACCCATAGCAGGAAAGCAAGATGTAACAACAATAACCCATAAAACTTCGACTGGAGATAATGGGAAAACAGACTTATGATCTTTATCCATGAAGACTAGACCAATAATTAAATACAAGGCTTGAGCGACATTTTCAGCTAACAATTGTAACACGAACTTCTGAATATTGTCGGCCATTCTTCTACCTTCTTCAACAGCATTTAAAATAGATGCAAAGTTATCATCACTTAAAACAATATCAGAAGCATCTTTGGCGACATCTGAACCATTAATACCCATAGCAATACCGACATTAGCTAATTTCAATGATGGTGAATCGTTAACACCATCACCCGTCATAGCACAAAATTTGTTACGACGATGTAAAGCTTCTATCATACGAACCTTTGTTTGTGGAGAACAACGGGCTATAACCAATGGTAATACAGGTAGGTTGTCGATTTCTTCTTCTGAGAGGTTGTCAAATTGTGAGCCAGTCATTACCATGACATCGACAACTTCCTTTGGATAATGGTATAAATTAGTTGGTAAAATTCCAACTTCTTGGGCAATAGCTTTGGCAGTACCTGGGAAATCACCAGTTAACATACGAACATTGATACCAGCCTGATGGAATTTCTTAACAGCGCCCTTTGTTTCTGGTCTAGGAGGGTCATAAATACCAATCAAACCCAAGAAAATTAAATCATTCTCAACAAATGTTCTACTGTGAAGAATACTGTGCATAGTAGAGTTATCTAAATCGGAATCTTTGTAGGATTTGGAAGCAAATGCTAACACTCTTAAACCTTCAGAAGACAGAGTATCGACATTCTTTTTAATTGTTTCGACATCATCATCAGTCATAGGTTGTAAAGTTCCGTCAGCGCCGTACCAGTAAGAACAACAGTTCAAAACACCTTCGAATGCACCCTTAGTGTACACTTCATGTGTGTTCTCATCTCTGTTTTGGTAGATAGCAGACATTCTCTTGATAGTTGAATCAAATGGGTATTCGGCGACATGAACAAATTGAGCAGAGTCTGAACCAGTCTTTTTTTCCTGTTCTTCATCCATGCTTGAAACACTATTATCATCTTTATCTTGAGCACCAAATACTTCTCCTGTTAATTTAGAACGTGGCAAATCCATCTTAGCTGCAAAAACCTGAATTGCAATTTCTGTTGGGTCACCATGAGCCTTCCATTCTTGAGTTTCTTTGTCTTGAAAAACAGTGGAGATTGTTGCCAAAGTAGAAGTTTCTAACCATTTATGGAATAAATTCTTGTTTAAGCTCTTAGGTAATTCATCTGAATAATATTTCTCTTTGAATGATTGTATAATACCCACATCTTCAGTTTCATTATGAGAGTACTCATATGGAGATAAGGAAGGGATCAAACTAGTTTCACCAATAGTAGGATTGAATGGTTCATTTGAGGAGGTGATTGAGACGGTACCAAACTTTGGAATCCATACTTGTCTTGCAATCATCTTACCTTGAGTTAGAGTACCAGTTTTATCCGAGCAAATATCATTGACAGCCCCTAAGGCTTCCAAAGAGTCTAATTTTCTAATAATAACATTTCTTGATGCCATAACAGCCGCACCAACCGACATTGTAATAGTCAACACGACAACCAATGATGAAGGGATCATGGATAAGGCAACACAAATAGCATAAATAGCCACACCTCTGTCGACATCAAATTTTTGAGAAGCCATAACAACAATTGCAAAAACAACAGCGACCCAGAATAATAAGATAGCTAATTTAGATAATTTACGGTGTAATGGGGTACCAATAGTTGTACCCAAGAAAGCACCTAGAGATTGTTTTATGGTTATCCATGAATTTTGCCAGAAAGTTTTAGTAGGATCCCTTGAAATTAAGTTCTCGGTATTTTGTAATGATTTAGCAATTTTACCAATTTCAGTGTTTAAACCAGTTTTAACTACAATACCAGAAGCTCTACCTTTAACTACGGTAGAAGAAGAATAAGCAATATTCAATCTATCACCAACTGGGATATCGATATTTTTCTCATATATAGCTTCAGGATCTTTATTAACAGGTAAAGATTCACCAGTTAACAAAGCCTCATCAGTTTCGAAATTATTACTTTGGAACAAACGCAAATCGGCCGGAATGGTATCACCAACCTTAACAAGACAGATATCACCAACAACTACTTCCTTAGATGGTATGGTTTCACTTTTACCATCTCTGATCACGTGAGCATTTGGTGAAGATAAAGCCTTTAGAGAATTCATTGTTTTAGTAGCTTTATATTCTTGTAATAAACCGATAACGACATTGACACCTACGACAAAAGAGATGACACCACCTGTAATCCAGTCACGGATTGCGAATGAAATAATCATCGAAATGAAAAGGACTAAAATCATAGCATTACATATTTGATGGATAACCATCGCTTTGTAATCGATTTTAGAATCATCACCTAACGAGTTGTCACCATTTTCTGATAGTCTTTTTGGGACATCATTTTGAGATAAACCTACTAATGTATCAGTTTTCAACAAAGTAGCAGTTTCATCGGGAGATAGAGCATAGAATTCATTGTAATCATATTCAATAGAAGCCATACTATGCTTGAAAGATAATTTTTATTTTATAAAAAATAGTAATCTGTTGGGGTAAATTTGTAAGTTTTCTCTTGTTTAACAAAATATGATATCCTTAATAATCAAAAAAGTAATAGAAAATCTGCTTTTAAAAAAAAATTCTTATTTAATAATTATTTAATATGCTTTTTTCAGTCTCTTTCTATATTTCTGATTAATAGTAAATTTTAAAGATGGGAAAATATTATTAAAAAAAAAATGAAGAAAATTGCTAGACAGATTTTTTTTATTGTTTAATTTCTATATAAAAAAATAATAGCTATGTTTAAATAGTAATAGTTTAATAAATAGATTAATGATGTGTGTAATGATATCACTGCTGTGTTATATGCTTATATATAATTAAGCTTTTTTTTTTTGCTACTATCAAGAAGACCAAAAAAGGAAAAAAAAAATAATGAAAAAATAAGTATAACGTAGAGAAAGTAATAAGAATGATGAGGCTAAAAAGTGTAAAGGTAATTAAGAGATGAAGCGAAAGAGTACATCAAGCATTCAATGAACCATTGAGTTGAATAGGATGATTAAAAGATGTCAAAAATAATGATGTCCTTATATATGCTTTTAATTATAATTGAATAAATGCTTAATATAGAAGTTTGTAAGGGTCTGTGAAGTATTTAAAATGAGTTGTATATTTATTGAACTTATCAGAGTAAATGTGTAGCTTTGTTGGTACTGAAAGAAGTAAAATAATATTATAGTATAGTGATATGAGTGCAAAAAGAAAGTAAAAGAGAGGGAGGATATACCATGGCATAACGCTTAATTTGTTGTACTAGAGAGTGTACAATGAGGAATCCGATTTAGTTAGTTGAAGGGAGCCTCGGAGACGAGAGATGAGTACTGAGGAAATTTGTATATATTGTTGGCAGCCATTACTTTTGATAACGAAGATAAAGAGAGTATTTCAAAGGTTATGTACGTGGTTATGGTATGGATGTGGGTATAGTGTATATCGATCGATCTATATCAACAATTAATTTATTACCTTATTGTGCCAACAATGACTATTAACCAAGTAACTTAGAGCTTTGCTCATCTGGGCAATAATCGAATTAAATCGAAACGAGAGGGTAAGCCATAAAGGTTATTGAATTATAGATAACAGAACAACATTACGAGGCAGAGAAAAGCGGGAGAGTAGGTGATGGTGGTGATGGTGATGGTGATGGTGATGAGGAAAAAAGCGGCAGCCAAAGAAATGCATAAACACGTATAAATACAGAGATGGAGACACAGTAGTGGCAGCGACGGTACTAATAAGCTGTATGAGTGAGTATATGATATCAAATTTTGACATAATGAGTAAATAAACAGATACGGGAAAAAGGGGGGAAGGGAGAAACTGATTCAGCAGAATGGAAAAACTTGGCTGCCTATTTCGTTCCGGAAGGCTCATGATGGGTACGGCTGCTTGTCTCTCAGTGTATGGATTTGTTTCAGAGGATAGGGCCTAGAGAGTAATTGGAACAAACGCTTCTTCTCGTTCTTCCCGTTCTTAAGTTCTTTGGACGACAATAGAGAAGCAGAAAAGCTGTAACCAAGTTTTGATTGTACTTTGGTTTCTCTGTTTTCCTAGTAAGAAACAGAAACAGAATACCTTCTATATCTTTTATCGTTTGCTCTCCGCAGTTGCACTGTAGCGTATTTTCTTATATTGCTGTTTATTTTCTCGTGGTGGGTGCAGAGAGAGAGATTTGTGAGAACATGCCGCAGCAACGGGAGCGGGTAGAATCTGGTTTTACATAATTCCGTCTTTATACATCTGCTGTGTTTATTACAGCATGGGAAATTATTGGTGTGTATGTTCTTTACTCTCAGTGCTAGTCTTGCCTGTAGGTCTCTTTTTGTCCATCTGAGCTATTGGTACGTACGTAATTCAGCGTACTTTTGATTATGAAAAAGAAAAGAAAAAAGACAAAAAACAGTACTAGTTTTGACAGGCTATGTGAGTTCTTTTCATTGCAGGTACTTTCCTCTACAATTCACTTGTTGGGAAATATGTAATAATCTAAACCCGCTATTAAAACAAACTATACACATGTCACTATACAGTTTTTCTCCCACATTTGATACGAATGCTATGATCACCCCGCACAACTACATCAAATTGTTTTATTGTGGTGACGCATCTTTACATGTAGAGTAGTCTCTGCACAAGTGAATGGATAATATGATGGTAACGTCTTTTGGAAAGATGGTAACGAAGTGGCGTAAGTCGCAATAAAAGTGAAATTTCTTTTGAGAGAAAACTCATAAAAGAAATGAGATGCGATAAAGTGCTTGAATGGAGTAATCTCCCTGTACGCCTACAATGCACGTGGATACATGATCAATGGGAGAAATAAGGGTGGGAGGAGAAATGGAGGGTCATCAACGAGGCGCATGCTTCTCCCCATGTTTCTCTGTTCCGTTACCTTTCACTACAGTAGGACAATTTATTACCTCTAAAACGTGATATACACGTGGAAATATAGTTTTTAAAGTTCCCCAATTGAACGTGGTGGGGCACCCTACATATGTAATATTCTATCTCTGCCCTAATCAACACTATTCTAATTAGGTACGTCTACTCCCTTCTTTTCTTTTACAATTTTCAATATCATTCAAAGAAATTGATCTGTTCACTCTTGAATGGAGAGATCAAAAGAAAATACTATGCCTCCACTCAAATCAAACTGTATCTTATCTCCTCGGAACTAGGTATGGATATATTCCCCTGTTGTGAGCTTAACGCCGATCTGCTGATAAGAATAAATAAGAAAATTGTACAATATGATACCCATTTGTAAAATGCATTCGAATACGAATTATTTTTGGGATATAGATTTCAAGATAGGCATTTGGCGCTACAAAAATTAACAGGGCCAAGAAATTTAATTTGATACATAAATGGCAATTTATGAAAAAGGTATGTGTCTGAGTGTATATTTTTAACGAATGACATGGAATTCATTTGTTCATTCATTAATGCAGCAATATCCTCATTAAATTCTTTTACTGAGCAATCGATAAATCAAATTACAATAACTCTGGGATGAAATTTACTTGATACACCAAATTCGCATAATTCTGTATCTACTTATAGATCCTAAGATTTATCCATACTCACTTTCAGATACCTTATATTTTCTTTAATATTATTCTCTTTGTAGTATAGGATGTAGATTATTTAATATGTTTATCATGTGATTTGGATCTGTTTTTTCTTGGCGTAATTCACTTTTTGTTGCCGTGACTTATGAAATGCATTATATTTTTTAATTACCGCCCTTTCTTTAAGTATGCTTTGATAACAGGTAATTGAGTACGAATACTAGACGTTACATCTATCTTTTTTTCTCTTTTTGGTAAGATAAGAGAAGATAAGATAAGATATACTTAAGATAAGATAACAGGCAATAAATAATTGATGCTACATTTACTTTATATATATATTTGTGTGTTTATGTGTGTGGGTACATTTGTATAATTTTATCTGAGACCTTAGCCTATAAATAATAAATAATTTAAATATATTGATTTTTATAGTCACTTTTATTTCAGGAAATTAACCCAGCGCATTACAAGATAGTTATAATAGTGAAAAGGTAAGGTAGGATGAATAAATTCTGAAAAATCCATTTTCAAATTCTAATTCTCTAACTTTGAAAATACCATTCATTCCATATAACAGCGATGAGATATTAATCTCCTGAGAGAACATATCGCTAGAATAAACAATCTTCTGCTTTGTTTTACTGTGCATATTGCTTTCAGTGTATAAATCTAATACTCTGTCCTCAGGAACTCTGAACTTTTTTCAGAAAAGAAATTATCTACCAATTTTAGATCCTGAATTTTAAAAAATTCCCTTTCTAAATCATAATGAAGAAGACATTCAAATTCTATGGATTAATCAAATTTCTGATAACCCATATTTTGTAGAATAAGCCTCCTAATTTTGACATGGCAAATCATCAAAAATGTATTCATACTAATTCCTGTTTAATTCCATATTTAGTAGCTTTAAGATAAAAGATGAAAAGATATTCCCTAACAAATCACCATGTTAATTTCACTTTTTAAGACAAGTATCGTAAAGCTTTAAAATGTCGTAATATGTTTTACCCTTTTTGTACATAACACTTGTTTAAATAGAAAAACATTTAAAGTTTCTACTGAGTTTCTCAACGCATATATTAAAGAAAGACTAGCGCTAAAGGATATTGCAAGGATTACTTAATATTGAAATTTGACCAAGGATAAAGATTTAGTATTTGGATTTATTAATTTTTAATTCATATTATATGGACATTTGTCAAAGACTCAAATAATTCTAGATTCCTCTAAAGGGTTACTTGTTGTAATTGCCTACCATTTAGGAAATTTATGGATGGGATTATAATTTCATCTAAAAAAATGGCAATGGCAATAGTAAACCCCTAATGAAAGAATTTAAGAGCTGTTTCTTTCTCTATATTAGACTAAGTCAGTTATTTCGATCCTTGCAGTTGATGTATTGATATACATAAACATACCAGTATCATATGTACTGAAGCTTACAATGAACAGCATTACATCAAGAATTTTACTTGATTAAATTGCAATTTGGGGAAACAAACAAAAACAAATTAAACAAGTAGATGGACCAGTCATGAAACTTGTCACTTCCTATTGAAACATGTAGTAGAAATGTCAATCATTATTTTACCTTTTATTTCCTATATTTATTGATTTTTTTTTAATTGTTTTAACCCTTTACGTTGATGTTGAACGAATCTAATGTAAATACTAAATATTAGACTTGGTTTCATTCCATAAATGAGATTACTGAAAATGTAATAGAAAATATCTAAACTTGTTCCAAAGTTAAAATAGAGTATAACTAATAAATAAAATTAAGAACAACAAGGTCATCCTAGATTCAATATGATCCAGTTTGGTGTAAATTAGCCATACATCCCCCAATCCTCCTCCAATTCAACATTTGAAGTATCAATAACTTCCTTATGAGATGTAATGTCATCACGACACATTGGACATGTTTTATTTTTTGAAAGCCAAATTGATAAGCATTCGTAATCAAAATTATGACCACAGTGTGGCAATTTGGAAATTAATGGATACTTGTCATCTGCATATGTACAACAACAGATTGAACAGCTATCGTTAATTGGATCTTTCAAATCACTTAATTTCAATCTTGGTAAAGAGCTTATAAATGATTCAGAACAACCTTTTTCTGAAGAATTATCATTCATAGACTCAAACCATTCTTGTTGAAGAGATTCTGGGATTAATTGGGAGAGTAATTGGGAAAGTACAATATCTGAGTTTCTACCACTACCATCTAAAGAATTCAAAGATTGGAACAATTCTCTTAATTGCTCTCTTATTCTTCTTCTTTCATCATCATTATCATCACCGTTGACTTTTCAAGATAAATAGTTAGCATATTGAACATTTAGAGGTCAAAAGAATAGCTAAAAGTCTCTTAACATACCACTTTGATTACTCATATTTAAATTTATCTTAAGATACTACATATCATGAACAGTATCTAAATGGAATAATACATACAATTTGATATCTTAAACAACCTAGTTGTATAATTATTTATCTATGTTAAATACCTTTAAGTTATTTTTTCATTTTAGATTTCAGATTTCAGATTTCCTTGTTCGCTTAGTTTTCCTTACTCAATTAATTATTTTGAATCATCTTGATATTTTGACATTGGAATGTATGCCAAGAAATGAAACAGAGGCCACTAAATAATCTGCCAAAATTGATATTTATTGATAAATTAATTAATTAACACAAATGGATAGAGTTGAAAAATTGTAATATTTAAAGACAAGTTTACCTTTGTTTAAAAATGTTATTTAGTAGTTAATTAAATAATTTAATTAATTCATTAAAAAATATTTAAAAATAAAAATAGAGGTACAAGTGAATGGTGAATAATTAATATTAATATGCAGAAGCTTAAACGATTGAAGACGTATATTTATTTATCTTGTGAATCCTTATTTTACACTGACTCCTAATTAAAGCGATAGTTTTGTAATTATTAAAATAGATTGATTTTTTGAATTGAAAGTTATTTTATCTTTTTTTCAAATGTGTTCGATAATGTTGAATACAATTGTCATGCCTGCTGAACCTTTGATTACAACCTTCATATGGGCAAAAATGATTTTTTTCACCAGTATGGATTCTATAGTGCCTTGCTAAATGACCAGATGTAGTGAGACCTTTGGAACACACTCGACAAATATATTTACGGCGTTTAACTATGTCAGCTTTTAAAATGTGAGTTCTGCTTGATTCTATTCCCTCTGGAACAATTCTTTTCTTGTTATAATGTCTTTTTTTCCTAGCGCTAGCTTCATTTGAGTCCACTAATTGACCTTCAGTTGAGGTTTCCATTGAAGTGAAAGAACTTGGAATCCGTATATCCTCTGTTTTTGTAGTGGTTTTCTTTCTTTCGACATCGATATTTGTATTCTCTGTAGCAGGTTCTGTAGATGGGGAAGCTGGTAATAATTGTTCTTTGTATGCTTTGCATGATATGATATTTCCATAATTATAGTTAGAACTAGCAGATAATGAACTTGTTGCAGTGGTACTATTCTTCCTGCTTGATGTGAGACTTAATGTTGTACTTTTTGGAGAAGGTATTGAAGTTGAAACATTATTCTCATATTTTTTTATACTTGAATATGATTTACTGTCTGGAGAGGAAAGGTAATTGATATTCAACTGTTCATAGATTAGATTTTTATATTTATTATAACCAGTATCTTCAAATTGACCGTTGTTATTTGTAGCAAACTTTTCATCGATTTGAGAATTTGAAACCCTTACGGCATTACTTGTATTGTTACATTTCACTGGGCTATTGGTGTTATATGATGGATTGTTTTTTTTCGAAATATTCATGTCAAATGAATGTTTATTTAATATTAACTTCAAATTATTATCCATATTTTCTTGATCTACTAATGGAGGTAACAATGTATGAAATTTCTTTTCTGTATAAACAGATGGTGACATTAAATGTGAATTACTGCTACCTGACATCATTATGTCATTAATATGGAACGATGCATTACCGTCATGGGCATAAGCGAAATTATAACGTGGATTTGAAGGATTTGATATGCTAATGTAACTCATTTTTACTTTTTGTCCTGTGTTATAGTTAATTATTTTCCTAAACCTTGATATTTTTTCTTTCCTTAAAGACTGAAATTATTTAGATATGCAAATATTAAGCCAAAAAAAAAGCGAATAATAAATGAGAGTAACAAGTTGACTTCTAAAATATAAAATAATAATGTGTTTTGTAACTTTATAGATACTTTCTAAACCTTAATAGCCATATGATTAAAAAAAAAAGATTGGAATTAAATCAGTATCTGTTGATACAATATTCAACGGGGACACCTTTATATGATAAAAAATGTTTAGAGGGGTCCTACTATATAAGGTTTACAAGGGACTAGAATTAAAGAAAAATGAAATATGAAATATAGTATATAATATATAATATAAAATGATTTAATTAAAACAGTTACAACCCAATAAAGAAATACAATCAAAACGTTTCTATTTGAAACCCATTCGAATACGAAAATAGATATGGAGTTTGCTTCTTATATAGATCAAATAATGTTGATCAATCGAACAGGATATAAACTGTTAACAGCAAAAAAAAAAAAAACCCAACACATACACACAGCTGAATCAGTGAATTCGAATAGAATAGAATAGAATAATAATAATAATAATTATAATCATTGAAATGCAGATGGAAATAATAAAAAGAGACATACATTCATCAATAGAAGAAAATAGCAAGAATAGAAATTTTACCTTAACCACTAATTTATTAAAGAGAATGGCTATGAAACAGTCGTGGAGCGATGGAACTGAATATAGAAAAATCAATGTCCCTCTTGATTGGCAAGAAGGAAAATTTAAAATTCGTACAAACAAAGACACAAATGTACATGGTGAACCTTTAGAAACATGTATGATAATGATGATGATGATACTGCAGACAAATGTTGTAATTGAAACCAAAAGGTCTTTTTAAAAAGGCTACTACGTTAAAAAAGTGTATTAAAATTCTAAACATTTCAATTCACCTTCTAAGAAGACTGAGTCAGTGGAGAGTTTATCGAGCGTAGCAAAAAAAAAAAAAAATAAATAAAAGATCACAATATCAATACTCAAGTGTTTCCATCAAGGGAAAACAGAAAGACAGAAACTGGCAGGATTGGAAAGTGGATATGGAATAAAGTTTTAAGGATAATCCAAAAAAAGCAGGTTGATAAGGAAAAAAAATAAGAAACCAAATTCGTTGGATTTATTTTGGATCAGAAAACTCTGAGCACTCGATCCAATGAACAAACAAGCAAAATATTGGCAACAGTTTTTTTAACTCACTACTACTGATACGATATACCAATTATAATTCACTTTCTTTCTATTTAAAAAAAAGTAAATGTACACATAATATATCTTCTACATTACTAGTTGTAATAACTAACTTGGGTAAACTTAAAATATATCTCTGTGAAGCAAGAAATACACTACTACAACACTGTGCGAAATATGTTTCTTGTACGCAGGGTGGAGGTAATGAGTTTCGAAATTGTTAGAAGTTTGTATGGGAAACATTTTGTAAATTTCAAGAAATAAATATTATCTAAGATAGTTCTACGTAAAGAAACGCACCCACCGAGTAATAAAAATGAATATATAGAAAATACATCAAGTAAAACAAACAGTATGGTATAATGAATGTAATTCGGTTTTATTTTGCAATTACTTGCTTTGCATATGAGAGTATTCTCCCCTTCATTTAGCAATTGGAGTGAAGTGTACGGGTAAAAAAATGTATATAAAGTGGAAATTTGTATAGTCAGAAAAGAAAGCAAGAGACTAAGACTAATGATATTCTGATTTCGAGTAGAAACTGGTTTTCGTTAGTTCAAGAAAGGGAATATAGAGAATACGCTAGTACAAAACGTGGAATGATGAAACTCTTTTTACTTTTTCCTACAGTTTTTTGCTCGAGATCACAAACATACTAACTTACGTACGTATTGTCGATAAGGGGTTTGTTTATAAGGCTATAGACCTCGAAAGAACAATAATGATGGAAATGCAGATTAAACATCTACCCGTACAGACACATAAAAGACAAAGGAAGAAATGCTATATCACATATTTTGGCAATAAAGCGAGTGACATATACCTATTCCTTTTTGAATATCTCCACTATTAACTTACCCAATAGATATTGAGCATATGTAGCAACTCTAAGGTTCAGAAGAATTAGTAGAAATTGCCATAAGTCAACTAGTTATAAACGGTAATAGTAAAAAATCTTGACAGATAGCAAACCAAAATAGAAATAGCAAAGTAACTTGATAGTAAATGTAGTGGCTACAGCAATAACAATAACAATAACAATAACAATAACAATAACAATAACGATAGTAAATATGTAGTTCTTTCTTACCACAACGGGAGGGAAGAAGCATATCTTCGTATCTGGACGGGAAATGTTGATTTGTGGGCAAACTCTGTAGAGATAAGAGGTCTTGTTTGGGGAGACACTACACAAAATAAGATGTAGTAAATTCAGAGTACGTAAGAACCGACTTGTGTCAGAGGGAAGAGAAAGAGGGAGAAAAAAAATAAAGAGATGCAAATATAGAAAAGACAAAGGAATGGCTGGAGACAGAAGTCAGTTCTAACTCCAACTGCGAAGATAGCATAGCAACAGGATTCATATGGTTTATTGATTTTTGTTGTGGTAAATGTTTTAAGGAAATAATATTTGTCTTAATAATCAGTTCTGTTGTACGTTAATTTGAAGGAGAAAGCCAAGTCAAATCTAATCAAGTTGTGCTGCCATATTGAATTGCATCGTATTGTATTGTATTGTATTGCATTCTAATGGGTTTAAAATTAGATTTAGATTTTAATCCTAGTTAATTAAAACAATAACGTAACACCTTTTGCAATAGCCCAACATAAATTCAAATAACCCAACAAAGATAAAATACGATAACCTCAATTCCCAAGACAAAGTTTAAATCAAAAATACGAAAAAAGGAATGTTGTTGATAATAAGTTTTTTTCGCCAACTATAATATATATTACATATACTTGTACGTAAAAATTGAAGGTTTATACTTCAGAAAACTCTTGGTTCTCACTGAAAGATGCCAAAAATTGAGACAGGGAATAAATCTTGATGAGTCTTTACAAGCTGCAACCTGATACAGAGAAACTACGCACTTAGATATGAAACACTAGAGTCGGAAGAAGGAAACAGGACCATACATATATCAGATGGTTGAAGAAGAGGGAGAGAGGTATAATTACAAAAAAGCAGTACAAACGAGAAGGCAAAATATAAATATTAATGTAAAACATCTAGAACCCAAGAAAAAGAGAAGAGGAGCCATATAATACCTTTTTTTTTTTTTTGGCTGAGAGAAATTTAATTGTTTCCACTTGTAAGAGATATGCCACGTACTTTACATGAATTTCTACGGTATCTTGTTAGGTTTTTTAGCTAATTGATGTGGTTTTCAATATTTATTTTTTGTATCTATTTCTTTGCTTGAACTATTTGGATCGGTGAGACCATTGCAGCGCATGTAGCGTTATAGAACGATAATCAATCAATAAATTCTTCACTTCTTTATCTTTTCTATTCTTTTTTTAGAAAATGCTTGTACTTTTTAGGAAAATTTCGAGCCGAGCAACTGATACGAGCTGGTTTTCCACGAAGGATTCTGTGTTGATTGAGTAATCTTTTAGAAAAAGAAATAAGATAAGAATGAGAATTATTATCCATCATTATTTTAAGATTTATCGATTCAAGATCAAAAAAAAAATGAGAACAGTTAATTGAACACCCTGGACAGAAGATATTGACAAAGAAGAAATGATGTAGTATCCTTGTATTCTTCATCGTTCTTTCAGGTATACTGACGTTACTTAAATTGCATTTTTTTAAAAATAGAAATCGAAATCGATATCCATATTTGCTTGTAACTTCATGTGGAGCAGAGAATATCAACAGGGATTCTAGTGATATGTATTATTGGTGGTGTTTGTTTTCTAATTCATCAACTAATGATAATCTTGAAACCATTTAGTTATGAAGTAATGGTGTGCATTTAATGTTTCCCATCTATCCCTTAAGGAATTCTGATTTTTTCTTTTTCTACTAGCTCCCTTATATTATTTAATTTTACTTTATTTTCTTTCGCTCTTTGTCTCTCTCCACTATTTCCTCAATTTCATCTATGTGTTTTGTCTTTATTTTCGTTTTTGATCCAAGTATCTAAATTCTTATCGAAGGAATTTCAAGTTTGTTTCGAATTGCAATATTAATCCAGAACTACAATAGTACTTCATGTAAGCTTCACTGTTGTTTTCACAAATTACTATAGTTTCCTATTTCATTATTTTGGATAATAGTAATGACATTTGTTAACCTTGGGAGGGGAGGGGTGGTTTGCATACCTCTGGAATGATGACATAAGGGGAAACTATTAATGGGCCAGCCAATATATATATGTAAACGATATAGTATCTAATCGTACCATTTTAAAGGCGTTTGTCTTTTGTACTGATTCTTTATTACCTCTAGTTACTTCTGGGAAATCTATTGTAACAAGTGACAGGTAGTAGAAGCCGATATTGAATAAATGGAAACTTCCAATAAAGTGTATTTATGGATAGTAGTGTGCAATTGATATAATGGAAACGGATCTTGATTCCGTCTTATTTCTCATTCTTGTTTTTTTGTTATGGCATGGCGTATTAACCAACTTTAACTTAGTAAATGGTCCATATATCGCATAGGGTACAATCAAGACAATAAATTGTTTTCTTTGACCCTGATTCTTATTAATTCATACGAAAGAAGGATAAATATATCGTTCACCATGTCAATTGCTGTATTGCCTTGTCAATATTGCATTAATTGCCTTTGTAGTAAACAACTGGGCTATTAATAAAATAGCCCAGTTTAATGGGTGAGTTTTATGTTATCTTACAAGAGAGGGAGAGGGGATTATACATTATTCAACAGAAATAACTATAATCCCAGTATAAAAAGTTAGATTGTTTACATTGATTAC